CATAAAGCCCCGTCTCAAGTGAGAAACGTTCTACACATATGCAAGCCTCGCGTCTAATGATATACCTCGAGTAAATACGAAAGCCCCGTATCAAGTGAGAAACGTTCTGTACATATGCAAGCCTCGCGTCTAATGATATACCTCCAGTACATACGCAAATAGAAGCGACAAAAAACATTTCCATGATCATAAGAAATCTCTACTTAAAGCAGAGTCCTGTGTATGTTTCCGATTATATCATAATCAAATAGGGATGATACCAGATGTCCGCGAAAAGGTGAGAGTATCCTGTCCGTCTCACCGGAGTTGTTTCCCCTGATAACTCTCGACTTCCGGTGCGCATACTCGAAACGAAATATGACAGTTGATAAATACGTGTCACTTGTTCAGGAGTAACAAACACTTTATTCTATACATCGACTTTTCAGGGGTCCCTTCATTGATCACCCGTATTGAGTTGATATATATACAAGCTCTTTTGTTTACAAAAGGTTGGAATAATGTAAACAACTAACTATATTATTACCATCCTGACTACAATTTTTGCTAGCAACAAATCAAAGTTCTCCATACCAATATCAGTCACTGGAGAAAAGGAAATTGCAAAAAAAATAGTGAAATACGGGAAAGAAGCCAACTTAGATTATCATTTCTACGTCATTTTAAATTATCTTAAGAAAATCCTTCTTATCAACATGATCCTGAAAGATACAAAATCATAAACCACTGAAATGTAACATTTAGTTTTCTTAATGAACCAAATACTAGTATATCGTAAATAATCTCTATCGTAATGGTGAAATTTACACAGCGTAATATGTCATATTTATTGGACCTAATAAAAATTATTTATGGATAACAGCTACTATACTTTACTGTAAGGCGACGTTTCGGTATAGATCCTTATACCGTTGTCAACCAGGATCTACACCGATACGTAAAAAGAGAAGTTGCAATCCGTAAATTGTGTCCACTTCGTCATCCGTCAACTTCTAAGAAATGCCTATCAAACAATTCGAGTTATAAATATTGTGGTAAAGAATGTAGTCAAGAATGTTTAGATACAGTGTCACAATCAGGGAAATGATATGTCTTTAGTTTTTAGTCTACCCATCATGGCTGATGGTAGAAACATATCTTCGAACATAATGGGCGCAGAACCATAATTAACTGTAAACAGGGAAATAAAATTTATGAAAACAAAAAAAGCCAAAATTAAAATAGTATCGTGTTGAGGGGCAAATAGGTGTCTCGGGTGCTGTGACTTTGTAGTTTCCACCTGTTTGTTTTTGTAATTAATAAGAGGAAGCTTGGTAGGGGACTCTGGATATCTTTTCAGAATGCGTTTTTGTAACATATACCACTAATGATAACAGGATATTGGAAATGATAATAAACTGCCATGTTGTCTGAGTGTAGATATGATTTGTGATCTTAATCATCGGATGTGAACATGTAGACAGGATCTCGTTGGTGTCTGTGATTTTCACAATTGCCAAATGGCCACCCTGTAGAGGTGTCTGGGGATACCAAGGTGAACAGTTTATTATTAGAGGCAGTTGGCAGTGGATGCGTGGGAACACAAATTAGATAGTTCGTCTTCGGGATTTTTAACCCTTTCCTTCTCTGTGTGAAGTAGCCGATCCAGTTCATGCATTTTATATCGAAGACGACCTGACGTGGCTAGAATCCGTGTTTATCTGTGACAAGTGACGATTGATTTAAATATTCATTGTATTATAGTTTGTCAAATTGTAAATAAAACTGTAGAATAGTTTATTTATATATTCAATGTGGGGCTATGTCTATGTGGGGAAATGTATTATGAAGAATGTATCATGTTTCCACGTTAACATGGAGGTTAAATACTAAGTTTAATAAACATTCATGTGTCATGTTTGTCTTCGCTGGACGTGATGAACATGTTGATAATTTCATATTCAGTCTTCTGTTTTCTATTGTGATGAGAGGTGCTCGCAAATTGCACAAATAACAACACGGTTAATGGAATGCCTTGTAACTGTAAATTCAGTCTTTATTCATTATCACTTATGAAAGATGCTTACAAAATTTAAATTGAACTGTTATACCATTGACTGACGCCATTCAGACTCAACAGTCAGGCGAAGGGTTTGCATACCACTGACAGACGCCATTCAGACTCAACGAGCCAGGCGAAGGGTTTGCATACCACTGACTGACGCCATTCAGACTCAACGAGTCAGGCGAAGGGTTTGCATACCACCGACTGACGCCATTCAGACTCAACGAGTCAAGGGAAGGGTTTGCATACCACTGACTGACGCCATTCAGACTTAACAGTCAGGCGAAGGGTTTGCATACCACTGACTGACGCCATTCAGACTCAACGAGTCAGGCGAAGGGTTTGCATACCACCGACTGACGCCATTCAGACTCAACGAGTCAGGCGAAGGGTTTGCATACCACTGACTGACGCCATTCAGACTTAACGAGTCAGGCGAAGGGTTTGCATACCACTGACTGACGCCATTCAGACTCAACAGTCAGGCGAAGGGTTTGCATACCACTGACTGACGCCATTCAGACTACACGAGTCAGGCGAAGGGTTTGCATACCACTGACTGACGCCATTCAGACTCAACAAGTCAGGCGAAGGGTTTGCATACCACTGACTGACGCCATTCAGTCTCAATAGTCAGGCGAAGGGTTTGCATACCAATGACTGACACCATTCTGACTCAACGAGTCAGGCGAAGGGTTTGCATACCACTGACTGACGCCATTCATACTACACGAGTCAGGCGAAGGATTTGCATACCACTGACTGACGCCATTCATACTGAACAGTCAGGCGAAGGATTTGCATACCACTGACTGACACCTTTCTGACTCAACGAGTCAGGCGAAGGGTTTGCATACCACTGACTGACGCCATTCAGTCTCAACGAGTCAGGCGAAGGGTTTGCATACCACTGACTGACGCCATTCAGACTTAACGAGTCAGGCGAAGGGGATCATTTGGATTTCATTTGTTAATGCTTTGAAAACTATTTATCGATGATTTGGACAAAATAATGTAAGCGCCGGAGAATAAGCAGTCTCGATTATCTCCCGAAACCGATTCCATTGGGTGTAAAAGGCAAAATAGGTCTGTAAAATCTATGACTGAATCTCTGAAAATCATTGATGACACCAGGTGTTCACGAAAATGGTAAGCATGTCCTGCCCGACCGGCAGCACCCACCACTCACACAATTAGCATGAAAAAGTAAGTGCTTGTTTGTTTGTTGTCTAACGCCGCACAAGTAATATATATGGATTAAATAGGAATATAACAAAATCAAGCAAATGCACCTTTTGATGTGATTTATTCATGAAAAGCGCACAATATTACATAACATAATTTGCAGAGCAGCGTCATAATAAAGGGGTTTGATTAAAAGGTATGATACATTGCAGCCATCACGATTCAACAAATTCAAAATATGAATCCTCAGAAATATGCCGTTAACATGCCCTTGAACACGTAAATGTCCTCACAAGTGATATACATGTACATGCAAAACATACTTAGACATAGTAGCCGTGTAGACTTTTGGTAATTATTTTTTCTTTTATGTGTAATAATCTCCAATGATATTTATTATCCTGCTCTCAGCAAAGCTATCGGGCGTTACCAAAAAAGGTAAAAATAAATGAACATAACATTTCTAGAAGTTATTTTGAGACGTTCGAGACTCACTTAAACCAGGTACCACACAACTATATATCACGGGTTTATAACATGTGTCCCGTGTACGCTATGTGTCGCTAGTGAGGAGGGATCAGAACGGGGAAGTTGGCAGTCCTGAACAGCTTCATCCAAGCTTTAAAAATATATTATTTGTTATCTGGTTAGATAAAAGTAATGACATTATGTATGTAACAGCTGATGATAACCACACAGACATAATGTCTAAATATCACTCAGGGCCCACATTACATGAGGAATGAATGAGGAAATAGAAACCAGGGCCCCGTTCCTCAAAGCGATCTTAGCAATAAGGTGATCGTAAGCCCCATACTTTAAGTGAAGGATAAAACACGTTCCGAGGTTTTCAACCAAAACCGAGGATAAGTGTTTTATCTGACTTATAAACCGAAAAAAAGAAACTTAAATCAACATTTATCAACATTTTTATGTTTCGAACATATTTTCCATGAACCTTAGGAAACGCGCGTAAAATATCTGTTGCTGGCGTACGGATCTTGAAAAGGACATTCTAAAAACCAGTGAGGCTTATCAACACCTCTGTAGCCTCGTGGTACACTCACTGGGCTGCAGATATGAAGGTTGCGAGTTCGATCCTCGGGAATATAAAGAAAACATTTGCCATTTGATTTTACTTTTCATTACATGTTACAATTTGAACGGAAGTTATATTAATAAAATACCCAGGACATTATATAAAATCCCTGGGATATTATATAAAGAGGGAGTGAGTGAGTGTGTCATGGAAGGAGGGAGGGGAGGAGAGATGAGTGAGTAGGTGGGTGGGTGGGTGGGGCAGGGAGGGAGCGAGTGAATGAGAGACAAGCCTCAATGTTGTTTATGCCTATGTCACATCGATTGAATGCATTATTGAAAATGGACGACAATGAAAAGTGCAAAATTGAAGGTGATGGAAAATACTAGCCAAAACACACGCCTGAACGCAACCAGTGGTTTAGCCCATGCACGTCACATGACAAGAAACAGGGAATTTGGGTATAAAATGGTTCAAAAGAGATACAACTGTATTGCGCTCTTGGAAGTTGAAAATGCGACGTTTTATCTCTAATTATCTGCGTGACCCCTCAGTAATGTTACCCGACTGACAAAGAGATTTTAGTGAATTGCAAGGAGCTCGTCCACCTCTACGGATTATGTACCGATTTCCTGGGAGAAAGGCCCCTGTGCCGAGGACGTCAAGGTGCTAATGCTATCCTATGTTGACTGCCTCGTGGTGTTACGTACGTCAAGTTGTCCAAAACAAGCGTCAGATTTTCCCAGCTTTTTTGAGGATATTCCTCCCGATGGAAGCATACATCCCAGTCGACGCCATGAGTGTCGCCTGACTCGTGTATTCTGGATAAGGTTTGGGGAAGGTGAGATGAACCGACAACGTCTCTACGTTCCACTCTATGAAGAAATACAGTGCATCGTCGTTCATGTAATATTCGTTGTAATCTTTGAACCATGGCGGGTGACATTTGTGTTTGTAGCACAACACCTGGAGTTGTCTGTCAGCATGCAGGACGTGAGGGAAACGTTCGTACACCCTGTACGGCAGGCACCCTGAGTTGTAGATCCAGTGCTTGTCGCGGTAGTCCTTCATTGTCAACAAGAATTCGTGAACGAACTTGGAATGCTTCTTGGCTATGAATACTCCGATGTTGAAAGTTTCTGGCCATCCGTCGGCCTTGACCCACTCAAACCCCATCACAGAATCATAGGCAAGATGAGAGTCCTCAATAGGCTTTGTCCATAATACATCCGGGTCCTGGTTCACTCCGCCATATTTGTTTAGAATGTACAGTTTCACAACGTCGTTGGCGTGAGCTTTATTCTGCACGACGTTACCGAACACAAATTCAGGCAGTTCCATAAACACGAACGTCACATTCTCCTCCCTCTTCAGCGTCTCCCAGAATTCCCCCAATGGTTCGCAGTCTCCGTGGAAGTACACGTGATATAGGCGTGCGACGTAGAGAGCACTGAGGACGCTGAGATAATGGGCGTACGTGAGGGTTCTCTTCCCGAACCATATATAATGAGAAATCCTGGGCGCCAGAACTTTGAAGTCTTGTTGTAAATGTATAACATCGGATTTACCATAGAATAGAAGACGGGCAAGCTTTCCAAAATTGATATCGATGTACCAAATATCTTTAGGTCTAACCGGCAAATTGACAGTAACCGCTAAACAACGCTCCACCGATACTTCATAGTCATACATGGAACAGGCCCTCATATCACTGTGGCTGAAGGTCAGTGACTCGTTAACTGTGGTGGCGTTAGTGCCGGGAACGACACCAATAAAACCATCCAAGCATTTATCTAAATATTCATTTTTAATTATCTTTTCGTTTTTATTGGCAGTACGAAATGAAAACAATAATTGCATCTGCTTAGCCTGGGTGGGAAACTGTCTGAACACGGTGTTTTCCCCAACGTAAAGGCCGCCATGCTGTAGCAGATACTGCTGCACTGTGTGGAGCTTGTCCTTGGCGCTGTTTCTGCATGAGGTGTCGGTGCTCATCTCGTCCAGCACGAGATAAGGGATGGTGGCGACGAGATCACGGAACCAGGAGTTGTACTCAAGTGGATCCAGCACCGGATAGTCGGTGTAGTGGAACACGATCTTCAGGGGCTTCACCATCTTCACAACACTAAGGATGCTTAAATAATTGTGAAACTCAAACATCTTCCGCGCGCACCAAAAGTAATGAACTGTTTTTGAGTTGACGTTGGGAACGGGATACAGCTCTACGAGATCAGTGTGAACGTTCGTGCTTGTAGGTGGAATGTCAGCAGATGCACACACCCTGACGCCGGGGTTCCTGTAGACGACGTATATGAAGCACAGCGACGTCACTGCCAACACAGCGGACGCCAGAAGGAACACCACTTTACCTCTTTTCTCCGACACCATCTTGACTTGATCTGAAAAAAAAGTTTCCTATTTTTAAAAGACTAGAATTTAAGGAATAATAAATGAATGAATAAATGAATGAATGAATAAATGAATGAATGAATAAATGAATGAATGAATGAATGAATGAATGAATGAATGAATGAACTCCAGATAAATCCGAAGATTCTCAGAAACACCAAGATTATTTAATTAAATAACAAAAAAACACAAAATGAAACGTATATATATGTCCCGCATATTTAAAGGCTCTAAACAGTGAGAAAGATATATATAATAATATGTATACTTTGAAAATTCTTTAAAAGTGAAATGCCATGTTATTTCATCAATGTCATTGTTATCTGCACCGAGAAAGAATGCTAACATTCCGCCTACAGGCACAATGCGACTACATTCGGCCTACAGAAATGTCCTCGTGGGGATTGCTGGTTAGAATAGGTACCGAAAAACCTTTGACCAAATGGATCGGGTGGTCAAGCTCGGTGATTGGTTGACTGCGTACCCCGATGGCGTGAATCATTGTTTACAATATCGATCGTTTATTTACAAGCCGCTGGAATATTGCTGAGTGTGGCGTTAATGAATACGTTTATGACATCATAGCAAACGTCCAGAGTTACAACATGTTAGAGGCCGCCTCCACGGCCATGATGATCAAACCTAATACCAATGCACATGTTTTGTCTGCAACTGACCCATGCCGCCTCATGTAGCGCTCCTCCCGTCCTATGTTCGTGTGGCCAGCATCGAGCCCTGTAGCGTGTGACTGACTGTGCCCGGTTGCTCCAGTATCGCATCTACTACAAGGTGGAACAGCTGCTGGCTACAGATGTAGACACAAGGACGCCATCGGAGCAGTCATCTCCACTCCAAACAGGTGTACGTCTCAATTAAAAGTATGAAATCAAATATAAATTCCATCTCGCGTTCATATCAAAGGATTGGGCCCAGATAAGTGTCACACGTGTTTTCATACGGTCTCGACTAACAACAGAGGGAGTCTCACAAGAACTGCATGGCAGTCTGGATAATACAGGCTTTTTCTAAAGTTTGATTCAACATAAGCCGGGTATGTTTCCTATACTATAATGCTGGTTTTATTAATAATTGTTACCTATCGTAGATGTATTGTACCTGAGCCTGTAGTACAACCAGAACAGCTGGTCCACTGAGAAGACCATTGAGGACCCCCAAGGTGTGTTCAGATCATGTTGAAGGGCTGAATGTCCCTTAAGGGGGGGGGGGGGGGGGTCCCTTTGTGACGCAGTATTGGGGTGGGGGGGGGTCCCTTTGTGACGCAGTATTGGGGGGGGGGGGGGGGGGGGGGCCTTGTGACTTGTTCGAAAACTGCGTTTATCTGTGTAACCGAGCTATATCTATGAGGAGCAACTTATTATTAGCAACTCGATTATTTACAGACCGCCATCATATAGCTGTAATATTGCTAAGTGCGGTGTTAAACAACAAAACAACAACTTGACACTTATACCGTCGTCCAATATATGACGTCTTCAGATTGCGAGCGCATATTCGAATCACCAGAAATGTCGTCCTGATAGAAACATGTTTTATCGTGAAATAAACCATGCTTCTTCCTTCATTGTTCTTAGCGATTTATCGCGTAGCTGTCTTATATGACGCATTATTGAGGTATGTCATGGGTGTTCATACTTTATAACGCATTATTGAGGTATGTCATGGGTGTTCATACTACTATAACACAGTATTGAGGTATGTCGTGGGTGTTCATACTTTATAACAGAGTATTGAGGTATACCATGGGTGTTCATACTTTAGAACGCATTATTGAGGTATGTCATGGAAGTTCATACTTTATAACGCATTATTGAGGTATGTCATGGGTGTTCATACTTTAAAACGCATTATTGAGGTATGTCATGGGTGTTCATACTTTACAACGCATTATTGAGGTATATCATGGGTGTTCATACTTTATAACGCATTATTGAGGTATGTCATGGGTGTTCATACTTTATAACGCATTATTGAGGTATGTCATGGGTGTTCATACTTTACAACGCATTATTGAGGTATGTCATGGGTGTTCATACTTTATAACGTAGTATTGAGGTCCGTCATTCATATGTGTTCCTGGAATGGGATTGGCTACTTCAGACCCCATTGTAACGCACTATCCTTCGTGTGTTTCAGAGATGAGCCTGTCACTGAAGGTGACAATGCTGACGCTGTTGTCGTGTGCTAACGCGTCTGTGGTAGTTCTCACGCACTATGTACGCACACGTAAGGGCGCCATGTTTTCAGCCTCGTCCGCTGTTCTGATGGCGGAACTACTGAAGGTCGGGGCCTGTCTACTGGCCATGTTCATACGACGTCCGTCCACCTGGCTGTCTAACGTCTACTCTATCACACTTGGAGGGCTCCAGGAATGGGCTCGGGTGGCCGTCCCCGCCATGCTGTACGCCGTCCAGAATAATCTGGTCTTCTTTGCATTGTCAAATCTCAACTCAGTCGTATTCCAGGTAGGAAATTTAAGAATCATCTTGACGTATGTAACTAACATAGCACGCAGTTTGCAGCCTTTGGTTTGGATTGTTAAACTGAGCATTCGCTTTTATTCAAATTTTGTCACTATCATAATTGCAGTACAGAAAGTACTTCGACGCAACTGCTTTTTTCAAAAGCTGTGGAGGCATGGGTGGCCCAGTCGTCTAAGGCGCCACAATTCGCCGTGCAGAGTTGCGTCCTATGATCCTGGGTTCGCCCCGATTGTTTCTATGTTTGTCAGCACGGTAATCGTCTAAGACATGCATCACTTCGGGCTTTCCTCCCACGTCAAGCTGACATGCCGTTATATAACTGGAATACTGTTCAAAGCGGTGTAAAACCCAACTTTCTCACTCACTCAAAACCTGTGATTAAAGGTCTAGGAAGGGGGAAATGCAGTTTTAAAAATTACCCCCGGGTATATGTGTGTGGTATGTGCTCCTGGACACCCCACCCCCACCCCCACCCCCACTTTGATCCGCCTATGAATTATATTAATGGAGCACTGAATATCTTTAACGAGATCGAGTTTAGTATTCTCTATGATCAAGGCCGTAGTTATCTTTTTTTGACAGGGGGGGGGGGGGGCAAATAAGATTTTTCATTTCTTATTCAAGTTTCCTTTCACAAGGAAAAATGTTTTCTATAAAAAATCCAGGGGGGCAACTGCCCTCCCTGCCCCTCCGGCTGGCTACGGCACTGATGATACTATATACGTTAGTTTCACAGATTACTATAAACTCTCTTAGTTTGAACCGTATGCACGGTTTGTACCTCTGCTGTACGTTAACAGGTAACTTATCAACTGAAGATACTGACAACGGCTCTTTTCTCGGTGCTCCTACTCCAGAAGACGCTCACCGTCACCCAATGGCTATCTCTCATGCTGCTGTTTGCTGGGGTGGCAGTAACACAGATCAAGGGAGATCACTCCGGGCACACTCCCACAGCTCACCACGCAGAATCCATGGCACTAGCAGCAGTGATAGGTGCAAGCATTTTGTCTGGATTTGCAAGTGTCTACTTTGAGAAGATTCTCAAGGGGGGTGGTCAGTCTATCTGGGAGAGGAACATACAGCTTGGCATCCCCGGGGCATTGTGTGCAACGGTCACCCTGCTTGTTAAGGATAGCCAGTACCTCATGGACAGAGGCTTCTTCTATGGCTATGACTGTTGGGTGTGGCTGGCTATTCTTCTCCAGTCGCTTGGAGGGCTTCTGGTAGCTTTTGTTGTCAAGGTCATGGACAATATTTTGAAGACGTTTGCGATGGCTTTAGCCATACTGTTGTCTTGTGCCGCTTCCTTCTTCTTGTTTCACACGGGTATCACTATTCAAACATTGGTCGGAGCGCATCTGGTCATAATCGCAATGTTTTTGTACGGTTGTGATACGGCTAGATTTGCTTCTACTCGCCACATAGTCATACAGGCATATAGCAGAGAACTTGAAATCAATACAAGCTACAACGACAGACATACCGACAGCTTGGACACTTCAGACAAAGTAGGTCATAAAAAACATACGGAAAGCAGACTATTTTGTGTAAGCAATAGCGACGAATAGACTTAGAAGACAAACCTCCGTTAATGTGAACGACAAAAATAAAAATATATATTATTTTTTCACAAAATTATTTTTATATAAATGTATACGGCATCACAACAGACGGACCTTTAGCAGAGAAACGTCCGGCAATATATACCATGACCACAGACGGACTTGTGAGTTGAAAACTTCGGACAAGAGGACAGACAATGGTATAACCGATTATTTACAGCGTTTTCTAGGGTACATATTGATTTGTTTATACACTACTAGGTACACGGCAAACGTTTTGAGCTGTATATTTCTTCATTAAGAAGATCTAACCAGTGACATTATGCACATTATGATGACCTGGGTTGGATTGTGGATATTGGGGTCATACGGTACGAATTGATGTGAGTAAATGGTCTTGCAGTGTTCTGAATTATTGGTACAATCTTTTTGAAAACAGCGGAAAAGTACACAATGTGCAATAAGTAATAATTTGGTAACTTGCATGCTGATATCATAAGGGGATATTACTTGTTTATACTGTTTGTTTTATTTACATAATTAAGGAATTTGCAGAGATACTGTATCCTCAACACGCTTGTTTTTTACAAGTTTTCGAAGTGTAAATGAAGGCTATTTGGTATTAACACGAACATTTCGTTGTTAGAGATGAGCTTTCAGCTTAATCAATAGATTTACAAAGTTGACATCGGTGGTCTTCCCGGGAACTTTGAAATGACAAGATATTTTCTTTCATTCCTTATAATAAGATCATTTGGATCTTGCTTCAATCCGCGAGGGTTTAAAGTTTGATGAGAATAATTTAAAAAATTCCAAGAAACAAAAGATGGGATCAAAGATGACGTAGACAAGGAGACGAAATCTAAAGGTCTTTAAAAATACAAAAATATTCAAAGAAAATGGTCCCTTATGTTTTGCAATGGACCGTATGTTTCCACAGTTTATTAGTTATATTTGATCGATATTCCCATCTTATCAATGCAGTATCAGAGTGCTATAAGGTTAACTACACATTCCCATTTTTTCATCGAATGTATGAATACATCTATACAAGTAAGAAAAATTGAGTGAGTTGGGTATAACGCCGCTTTTAACAGTATTACAGTTATATCAAGGCGTTTCAGCTTAATGTGGGAGGAAAGCCCGAAGTGATGCAGGTCGCAAAGGTTAACCACTTGTTGAAACCCACGATCACTGGTATGGTACTGACAAACCTAGAAACATAATCAGGGCGAACCGGGATTCGAACCCACGATCATAGGTTTCTGGCGTGCCAAACGTACGCAACTCAGCACAGTGAATTGGACGACTGGGCCACCCGTGCCCCCTGTACGCAATATACATTTGTGCAGATTTGCTCGTGACCACAGGATATGTACACCACACTGTTCAATGGACATAACATCGACACATGGTCTGCTCAGGAGATAGACTACGGTATTGTCAGTGTTCAATGCAATTTCCAATGCTAATATGGAGGTATTCGTGCCACATGACACCTAAACAATGTGTGGAATGGTCATTCCATGCCAGACATCCACAGCATCAACGACGGCCTTAACTATTTCTTTACAAAAGTTGTACATAGACAAATATGTCTATTTTAATATTGTAGTATTGAATAATTCCCTATGGCGTCGCTCAATATACGCTTAGTCTGTTTTAATATAATTTGAAACAGAACACTTTCAATATGTCAGTATTGTATTCAATCCCACACCGTATTGTACACAAGGTTTCAACATTTTACAAGAATACAGCGGTTGTCTGTATCCAGTGAGCCCCAAACATTGGTGACAATATATAATCTATTGAAAACCACTACACGCAACATGGGCATTCAGCAGACACATGGAAACTTGCAGGAGTGGCATGATAGGCGAGTAGTGTTAAACCAATGAGGTTCCATTTGAGACCCGTGAAGATCCGGGGTAGAATAGGTCTTCAGCAACCCATGCTTGCCGTAAGAGGCGACTATGCTTGTCGTTAGGGGTGACTAACGGGATCGGGTGGTCAGGCTCGCTGACTTTGTTGATGCATGTCATCGTATCCAAATTGCGTGGATCGATGCTCATGGTGTCAATCACTGGATTGTCTGGTCCAGACTCGATTATTTACAGACGACCGTCATATAGCTTGAATATTGCTGAGTGCGGCGTTAAACAACAAACAAACAACAAGGTTCTATTTGAATGGCGTGCGGGTGAGACTGGAGTGGGTTTACTGTATTATTTATTGGGATAAGCATACATCAGTATGCTGGTCACAAAGCTGGGTGCTGTGTATATACACATTTAGTAACATATTGTGATGGCCATCACGAAGATTGTATATATTATCGTATCTTAATTGTAAAAATTAAGATATGAAAACTTGTAAATAAATGGAAACCAAGAAATATTTCTCAGTTATATTTTATGGTTATATGACAGTGCACGAATTATAATTATGCCAGTATAGTATTGGCAACCTCGTTGCCACGTAGGTTTGAAACCTGTTTTGGTGAGAAATCTTCTCCGAGGATCATAGCAGACTGTTATTGAGCTTCATAACCTACTGTTACTCGTCAAATAATCATATGTCAGTGGCATCGTGTTACACATATTGTTTCGGATATGTCGGTACCTCAATAACAGCAATATTGTCAATAACGTGCCTGCCAAAACGATCTTTTTCAAGAGTTTTTCATTGACCGTTACTTTTTAAGAATTCATCGTTCAAAAGATACAGTTAAAACAAATTAACCATCAGATATAGATTATTCACAATCACTCGACAGCTTGTTATTTAGCCACAGTTCTGTGAATTCGTAATCGTATTTGGTGTTTTTTCAATACGTGAACTAAATTTGCAGTTAATTCTGACATCAGGAACTATGTAATCTTCGCTATTGTATTCATGCGCGGCATTTAGCATCACATATTTATTAATGTTTTTTTCTAGATATGACACCCAGTGCCACTTTGAAATCAAATCAGTGTCCAATTCATGTTATTAAACGTCTCATGTATCAGATAAATTCAAATTGCCTCTTGACATTTGTAATCTTCCTCTTTTAATTATCCATCGCAATTCTCAGTCGATGTTATTTGTTGTTATTACGTCCCCATGACGGGTAGAAGGAAGTCATTGTTTATCTTGTGATAGTGGAAGGCCATGAGAGAATCATTTGGGCGTAATGAATTGATTGGTATAAATACTCATTTTCATACCAAAATACCTCCTGAGATGGTTTGCCTTCTTCTGTAATTGAATGATTTTACGTTGTGAAAGTATACCCCCCTCAAAAGAATAAGGGCGTAACGGGGCGTAATTTCTCATAATTTGATTGGTCTAAAACAGACATGTGACCATTTTCTCACACCTATAAATATGACGAGATCCATACATAATTAGTGGAGCTGTCTCTCCGGAAAATGAAAAAGCAGACACACTGGCGAAGCTAGGTCTAGACAAAGCGGAGATACAGTCTATTCCTTTCAGCTATCTAGAGATAAAAAGCCAAATCAATGCCTCCATAGCCCCCTAATGGCACATCCAATGGGACGCAAGCGCGATCGGCAGATGGCTATACTTAATTCAACCCAAGATCCACCAAAAGCCAAACTCGCACTCAATAGAAAGGAACGTTGAAGTATCCCCCTCACGCCTCAGACTCGGTCTGTGACAATGGATGCTCATCTTGCAATCACTTGTTACTGGAATGTCAAGACCATGTCCCATCCCGGGCTCTGTAAAGCAAGAATCGATGTTAGGTCTGCTTTCTGTCGTAGATCTAAAGGCAAGGGGCGCAATAGCGAAGGCCAAACTAACTCTATTTCTAGGAGATGGCCAGGTACTCGAACGTATATATATAAACAGAGCAGCCAAATAATTTCTATCAATTTCTGATAATCTAAAATCAAATGATATCAAACGAAAAAAGAAATCTTATCAATACAAAAACAGAAATTTTATCAATCCTAAAGCTCACAATAGATATGTGAACCCTACACACACACACACACACACACACACACACACACACACACACACACACGATTGAGTTTTGGTGAATGGGAACATGTATACATTAATTAAAAAGGAGGGGGTGTTTCTACATCTGTTTAAGATAATTTGAGTTTGCTGTTCAGAAAAACCTCTTAATGAGTTTGCATTTTCATAGGAACGCCAAAATGAAAGAGAACAAAACCCTGCCATGTTGACTGGAGACGAAGGCAGGCAGCTGACATCAAGAATGATTGTTGAGTGCACACTGATCAACTGAGCATGCCCCTGTATGGTGTGGAAATAAGCGCAATATAAATGGCCTATAGTGGTATAGCGTCTGCACGGAGATTGGAAGGTCTGGGGTTAGATCCCAGGCTACGTCATACCGACAGACGTTGTAGGATTATACTTATTATCCTGTCCAGCGTTTGGCAATAAGGGATAAAACAAGGACCGGTCGGCTCGGGGTCAGTATACTGAGTGGGCTAGCACTATAAAACGGGCATTATTCCGAACTAGTACAAGCACACACGCACGCACGCACGCACGCACGCACGCACATGTTGCTATATCAGTGCAATAATCTTTACCGCGACGTGAAACCCCATTTCACCTCATCTCACCTCCATGGGTTCGAGATTTCAGGCAGTTCTTGATGCTGACTGCAGATGGCCTTGAACTTTGACTTTTGTCACGTCTACACCAGCGACCAGTTTAAACTAGGGTGGCCTGTGTCAAATGTGAATTTTCAGCAGCTCTCCGTTGATCCATTCAGTGAACCCGTCACTAAAAATGCATTTGCTTTTCTTTTGAGGGTACAGTGGATTGCTTAATTTGGACATTACCCAGGATGCTAACTAGTAACGATTGATTAATTGTTTATGTCTATTGTAGCCTGCTCAGCACACCAAGAGCAAGATTTGTTCCGCCATTTTCGAGAATTGAAATGTGAAATGATACCCAAGAAAAAGGTGGTTTCGCTCATGGAGGACTGGTATTATCTCCCTGTGTGTGTTCATAGTTAAGGCGAAGATCCGTGAATTTAAGGGGTAGATCAGGTCTTCAGCAACCCATGCTTGCTGTAAAAGGCGACTATGCTTGTAAGAGATCGGGTGGCAAGCCTCCCAATTGCGTGGATCGATGCTCATGATGTCAATCACTGGATTGTCTGGTCGAGACTCGATTACTTACAGACCGCCGTCACATAGCTGGAATAAAGCTGGGTGCGGCGTTAAACAACAAACAAACAAATAATAATTAAGGCGATATTTGGATACATCAAATCACAGCCATACTGGTGATAAAACATGATGAAACATACACCATTCGATCTATCGATATCCTGACCACAAAAATCAACTAATAATTAACACATTATAGTGAAACACACAGTTCTTGAATCATCGATACTGTTGAAAGCTGCAGGAATTCAGGTGTTTTCAGACAGGAAAAGACAAACAGTAGATAAGACACAGATCAGGTCGTTAACAGCCTCGTTATATAATTATGCCTCAGACTTTTGGAAAAAGAGACAATGTCAGTCATTAGAGAAATACAATCTTGCAAGGTGTTTTGACTTGGCCCAGTGAAGCAGAGCATGGTAAGCTGACTGACTGTCCAAAGTCACACTGCCATAGCACTAGGTCTAGGTGGGTGCGTGAGTATGGACACCGCTTTTAGCAATATTCCAGCAATATCATGGCGGGGGACACCAGAAATGGGCTTCACCATGTATCCATGTCGGGAATCGAACCCGGGTCTTTGAACGCTTTAACCACAAGGCTACCCTACCACCCCCAAGTCTAGGTAAAGACTTGGGAGTTACAACCGTTACAACCAGTTTAAGATTGCGTTGTGGAACGAGGACAAGGTAGTAACAAATCACAACTCGCACAGCTTCTAAAAGAGTTATTATTTATTCATCTACAAGGCAACAGTATAAAATGTTTATAAATATTTCATATATTATGATAACATACATCAGTTATGACTAACAAAGCCCAGCACCTCATCTGTATCCAACTGAAGTCACAGATACACTGCCGACTGATACTGGAGGTCTGGTTCAGTTGGTTTAAACATACAAAGGCACAAAGAACTGATGAGTAGGACAGTAGCTAACATATAGTCTACAGTGGGAGATGGGATGGGGTACACACAGAACAGCTGGGCTAGGGTATCAAAACCCTCTCAAATGAGGGTTTTAGAATGGCAGTATTCAGCGAGAAGGTATACACAGGACAGCTAGGCTAGGGTATCAAAACCCTCTCAAATGAGGGTTTGAAAATGGCAGTATGCAGGGAGGGGGCTACACACAGAACAGCTGGCCTTAGGTATCCAAACCCTCTCATAAGAGGGCCAAGGTTCTTAGGATCATCAGCCACTATTATTGTCATGGGCTTTTTACTTCACAAACTGTCTTTCATCCTATTACTTATGAGACAACCCCTTATCAATTCTAAGATCACTAAGTTGACTATCCCTCTATACATTTGTTTGGGCATGAGCAAAGGACGGCATCTTCCTATTTTTCAGTCGCCCTCAGTAACCCTTCCATCACAGTGGCTGGGAGAATGGAGACATCATTCTTAATACAAACTTTCACAACCCTAAAAGACTTGGTGTGTTCAGTTTATGAATTAATATGTTTAGGAGGCATGTAACCTTTCATACTGGAAACTCGCAGTTCAACAATTAACTAGATTTCCTACACGAACCACAGATTCTACTGACATCTACTGGCAGGGTCTGTACTACAGTATACACTCAATACAAGCCGGTAGCGAGGTCTGCTGTGTATTGCCTGATGTCAGAGCACGATGATGGTGTTTCCTCCAGTGGCTAGCGGTGGCGCCCTGACTAACATGTAGATATTCCTAGGCGATACATGGACGAAGCATGCAATATATCATTGAAACATAAATGCTGAGTTATTTGTGGCTGAGGCAGATGGGGAGATCACTTGGGTTTGACACGGCTGATTTTCTTGGACTTGTCGGTTGTCTTTGGAGGGAGTTGTGCGCCTGCTGCAATATGGCGGCCATACAAGCTGAAACAGAAACAGTTGAATGAACAGCAACATTACCTGATACATCATGTACTGGGCCAACATAAGTGTCAGATCAAACATACACACCCAACACTTATAAGTGTTAGATCGTGAGTGAGTGAGTGATTATGGATTTATGCCACCATTAGCAATATTCCAGCAATATCACAGCAGGGGACACCAGAAATGGACTTCACACATTGTACCAATGTGGGGAATCAAACCCAGGTCTTCGGCATGACAAGCGATTGCTTGAACCACTAGGCTACCCCAATGCCCTCAAACATATAAACACCCACCACTTATAAGCGTCAGATCAAACATACACACTCACAATTTATAGGTATCAGATCTTATGTAGTCAAACACATGGGATACGCCCACTTGGAACTGGTCAGCAATGGGGGTCACCCAGGGGTTATTCTCAGCCTTGAAAACCTGCTTCATGCCCACAAGGTCAAGGTTGCCTGGAATAACAAGTGGCCACAGTGAGAATAAAGCAGAGAAGAAGATAGAGAGATCAAACTACGTAGAGTTTGTACAATGATATTAATATAACACATACATTTCTGTCTACATGGTCTTGAAGAATGTACAGTTTCAGCAAATAATAAAGTAGAGGTGTATACTAATAATATCAAACAAATCCAATCTACAAACATTGTGAATAAAAGAATCCCTGCAAGATGCCATTCATATTTTTGTCAACTGTGAGTCGACAGAAAGACAAACAGAATAGGAGGCCAACACCAATTCCTATATCCCCTTTGTGATGGGGCACAACGAAGGGTGGAAGAAGTAAAGGTGTGTGTGGGAAGGTGAGGGTGAGGGGAGGTCGAGCTGAGGTGAGGACAGATTGAGTTGATACATTAATGTCAGGTAAGGCGAGGTCAAGGTGAGGTGGTGAGAGGTCAAGGTGAGTGTGGGGGAGGTCAAGGTGAGTGTGGGGGAGGTCAAGGTGAGGCATGGAGAGGTAAAGGTGAGGCGTGGAGAGGTAAAGGTGAGGCGTGGAGAGGTAAAGGTGAGGCGTGGAGAGGTAAAGGTGAGGCGTGGAGAGGTAAAGGTGAGGCGTGGAGAGGTAAAGGTGTGAGTTGTGAGAGGTGCAGATGAGGTGAGAGATCAAGGTAAGTTGAGAGAGGCCAAGGTGAGGATGATTAGAGGTAAAGGGGAGTATCAGGAGAGGTCAAGGTGCTTTAGGGGAATGGGTTCCCCAGTTATCCAAAACAATGCAGTTCACGTAAGCTTCCTAGGTCCTCCCAACCTCAGGGAGAAGGCTTCCTGTACTTACCCAGCTCTGGTGGCAGAACAGTCAGTCGATTTCCCTGAATGTGAAGCTCGCGGAGTCGAATCAGGTCCCCGATTTCTTTGGGCAACATGACCAGATCATTCTCCCTCAGTGAAAGCTGAAACACCATGGAGGAGAGGTAAGCTCACACAACAAGCCATGGATACAGTGGACTGTGAAATCATTCAGTGGAAAGTTTCAAACAATGTTGGTTCAGGGTATTGGCCAACCTCCCTCACTCATTGAAATCAGATCTTAGCGATCACTTCCACTACACACAGATCTGAGGACAACCCATTACAGGTCACGTCAGATCTTAGCGCTCACTTCCGATACACACAGATCTGAGGACATTCCATTAAAGGTCACGTCAGATCTTAGTGCTCACTTCCAATACACACAGATCTCGGGACATCCCATTACATTCAACTCAGATCTTAGCGCTCACTTCTGATACACACAGATCTGAGGACATCCCATTACAGGTCATGTCACAACAACGTTTTATCTGAACAATCAGAGCGTCGGTTATCAGATCACAAAAGTGAAGTCTGAATGTGTTTTCTGATCATTCAACCTTGAACAGGCTAACAGGGGTGATACTAATACTTCATGCACAACAGCTGAAACACTTACGACTTGCAAATTCTTTAGTCTGCCAATTTCAGGGGGTAGAGTTTCGAAGTCATTGTCACCAAAGTACATAGCTCGAAGGGTATCTGAAAGAAGAATAGAAATATGCTATATCGCTCAAGTTGACCTACAAAATGTCAGATTTAGAAACCTCAGCGTTATTCATTCAAACTTTCTAGGACTGCCAATTAGCCAAGCACTGCCTCCCTCAATGGATGCACTTGATCATTCACATCATTTTACACACTGTCACACACCATATTACCAGAGAGCTCCAGATGAACACTGGATTCGGTTGCATAAGATGCGAGACGTACCCAGACAGAAGAAATTGCCCGGGAGGCTGTGCTCATTCAGGTTGTTGTACGTTGCATCCAGCACCTCCAGCGCCGGAAAGGCCCCAAAACCTCGAGGTAGAGCGTTTAGTTTGTTCATCCTGTCGAAACACAAACATGATCAATATCTTCATCTAAACCTTAATCAATTCAGCTCAAAAGCTGATTTTATCAAATATTCAAGGCCAAAATATAGCCATACAAACAGCGATTTAACAACCACATAAAATTTGTATATTTCCTATGCTTCGATGAGTGCAACTTGGAAAGTCCAACAGGGTGTGGGTGTGTCAGTGGGTGGTTGGTTGTAATGTGCAATGTGTTGGTGTATCAGTGGGTGGTTGGTTGTTGTGTGTCAGTGGGAGAGTCAGTTGGTGGTTGGTTGTTGTGTGTCAGTGGGAGAGTCAGTTGGTGGTTGGTTGTTGTGTGTCAGTGGGAGAGTCAGTTGGTGGTTGGTTATTGTGTGTCAGTGGGAGAGTCAGTTGGTGGTTGGTTGTTGTGTGTCAGTGGGAGAGTCAGTTGGTGGTTGGTTGTTGGGTGTCAGTGGGAGAGTCAGTTGGTGGTTGGTTGTTGTGTGTCAGTGTGAGAGTCAGTTGGTGGTTGGTTGTTGTGTGTCAGTGGGAGAGTCAGTTGGTGGTTGGTTGTTGGGTGTCAGTGGGAGAGTCAGTTGGTGGTTGGTTGTTGGGTGTCTGTGGGAGAGTCAGTTGGTGGTTGGTTGTTGTGTGTCAGTGGGAGAGTCAGTTGGTGGTTGGTTGTTGTGTGTCTGTGGGAGAGTCAGTTGGTGGTTGGTTGTTGGGTGTCAGTGGGAGAGTCAGTTGGTGGTTGGTTGTTGTGTGTCAGTGGGAGAGTCAGTTGGTGGTTGGTTGTTGTGTGTCAGTGGGAGAGTCAGTTGGTGGTTGGTTGTTGGGTGTCAGTGGGAGAGTCAGTTGGTGGTTGGTTGTTGTGTGTCAGTGGGAGAGTCAGTTGGTGGTTGGTTGTTGTGTGTCTGTGGGAGAGTCAGTTGGTGGTTGGTTGTTGGGTGTCAGTGGGAGAGTCAGTTGGTGGTTGGTTGTTGTGTGTCAGTGGGAGAGTCAGTTGGTGGTTGGTTGTTGGGTGTCAGTGGGAGAGTCAGTTGGTGGTTGGTTGTTGTGTGTCAGTGGGAGAGTCAGTTGGTGGTTGGTTGTTAGGTGTCAGTGGGAGAGTCAGTTGGTGGTTGGTTGTTGGGTGTCAGTGGGAGAGTCAGTTGGTGGTTGGTTGTTGGGTGCAATGTGTTGATTGATTCAAACAGGAGACACAAGTGAAAACTACAGTTTGATATATCGACTCAATGCTATATATGAACTAGGCTGATCCAGTAAACATGCTAAATGTTTAAAACCATCTTAACCATGGTAATATTAGTAAATGTAAATGTTTCTGTGGCAATGAATTATTAATTGAGTATCAATATTCACAAATTTGAATCGAAACAGTATTGACATTAAGAATTTATTGATACATTAATATTGTGAGATACGATGACATGCCTGCTGACAACCACCATAACTTCAGTGTGGGCTGTAACGACATTAAGCGTTGTTGTGGGTTTCACAGGGCTACTTACCCTACATTTAAGATTTTAAGTTTCGGCATTGTGCTCAGCGTAGATGGCAGCTCCTGTGAACAGCAGCGAGTGAGTCAACATAAGACAAGAACATGTCTGGAAAGGGTAGCTGAATATACAGCCGACCATAACAATCCACGTTTAAGATTCAGACATGCAGACTTAGTTGAGCTATAAGCAGTCCAACAAGTCCTATTCTGACGTACACACCTGAAATGTTTGACATTATGTGTGTCCTGGTAAGAAGACATATGAGATAAATTCAAAATTTTGTCCAATATTTGTCACATCTGAATTTTTATTTCAGATTATCGCTAATATCATGCAACACCACCAATAACTACATGTCCATTATCATACACAAAACATGCATATACACTTATGTCAACGACGACAGACTGTTGATGCTCTAGGACAGACTGTTGATGCTCTAGGACAGACTGTTGAGGCTCTAGGACGGACCGTTGGGGGCTCTAGGACAGACTGTTTGGGGCACTACGATGGACTGTTGGGGGCTCTAGGACGGACTGTTGAGGCTCGGACTGACTGTTGAGGCTCCAGGACAGACTGTTGAGGCTCGGATGGACTGTTGAGGCACTAGGATGGACTGTTGAGGCACTAGGATGGACTGTTAAGGCTCTGGGAAGGACTGTTGAGGCTCGGATGGACTGTTGAGGCACTAGGATGGACTGTTGAGGCACTAGGATGGACTGTTGCGGCTCTAGGATAGACTGTTTAGGCTCTAGGGTTGACTGTTGGGGGCACAAGGATGGACTGTTGAAGCTCTAGGATGGACTGTTGGGGGCACTAGGATGAACTGTAGAGGCTCTAGGATGGACTGTTGGGGCACTAGGATGGACTGTTGAGGCTTGGATGGACTGTTGAGGCTCTAGGAAGGACTGTTGAGGCTCGGACGGACTGTTGAGGCTCTAGGACAGACTGTTGAGGCTCGGATGGACTGTTGAGGCACTAGGATGGACTGTTGAGGCACTAGGATGGACTGTTGGGGCACTAGGATGGACTGTTGGGGCACTAGGATGGACTGTTGATGCACTAGGATGGACTGTTGGGGCACTAGGATGGACTGTTGAGGCTCGGATGGACTGTTGAGGCACTAGGATGGACTGTTGAGGCACTAGGATGGACTGTTGAGGCACTAGGATGGACTGTTGAGGCTTTAGGATGGACTGTTGAGGCTCTAGGACGGACTGTTGAGGCACTACAATGGACTGTTGAGGCACTAGGACAGACTGTTGAGGCACTATGACAGACTTGGGGGCACTACGATGGACTGTTGGGGGCACTAGGATGGACTGTTGGGGGCACTAGGATGGACTGTTGAGGCACTACGACAGACTTGGGGGCACTACGATGGACTGTTGGGGGCACTAGGATGGACTGTTGGGGGCTCTAGGACAGACTGTTGAGGCACTAGGATGTACTGTTGGGGCACTAGGATGGACTGTTGAGGCACTACGACAGACTTGGGGGCACTACGACAGACTTGGGGGCACTAGGACGGACTGTTGGGGGCACTAGGACGGACTGTTGGGGGCACTACAATGGACTGTTGGGGGCTCTAGGATGGAGTGTTGGGGGCTCTAGGACGGACTGTTGGGGGCACTACGACGGACTGTTGGGGGCACTACGATGGACTGTTGGGGGCACTAGGAGGGACTGTTGTGAGCATGAACACAAAGTACCAAGTTACTTACACACAAGGTTCCCTCCACATACCAGCTGTCAGTGGGGACCGGTGTTCATAAACAAATGGTTACCTCGACAACAGAATATCAACTTTCTTCTCAGCAGACACTCCTAACACAACAAAACATGTTCTCACCTCAAGACAGTTGTTGAACAGGTTGAGTATCTCCAGATTAATAAAGTCAGCAATGTTAGCAGGAATATCTGCAAAGTAGAGATTGTGAAAGCTTTGAGGAGACTAAGGAAGGATCCATAGTCAGCGGTACATCCACTGAGTCATGATAACTGACAAACATGGACAGGTCTGGAGCAGGTAAACCATCACAGACTCGAACCATCCTGCATGTGTCCTGGTCACAACAATCATGGCAGACAGGCATACAGTGATCACACAGTCTCTTACTTTAGACACTTGCCTTTAGCTCGAGTCGCTATGATCTATTGAAAATGATGTCAAGTGACCATTGGTAACAGGTCCGGGCTGACATCAAATGTTCTTGGCACGGACAATACCCACACAGCATGTTTTTTACACTTTAGTTGTTACATCCAATAAGAGCTGCAAATAAGGTGCATCTTCTCAACATGACCAAAGCAATGAAGTTAACTGACCATTAAAGTTCAGTTTCCACCATGTCCACCCTTGCCAAACTAGGCTGCACTTATGGAGCTATATTTTGGTTTGCCAGATGAGTCTATGCATAGTCTAATCATAAAAATCTTGTAACAAAATCAACATTTGGTTCACAAGAAACAGTCAACATGGTACTGTCAACTGGGCATCAATTTATACTTTATACTTTATAATTTATACATGTTTTTAACCAAGGTGCTCAAGTGATCTGATTCACTTCACGAGGTAAGACCCATTTTATTACAATATAGATATGGATTATCAATCAGATCGTCTTGACTGGGCACTACCATTTTGTTTCAAGCAGATGCAACTCTTTTCTTTTGCAAGTAATATGAGGGGTAGAATCAGATTAGTCAGAAGGAGGGACATAGAAGGGACATAACTTGTAAGAGACACTGGTGGCGCTACAATTACCATGATTATGCCACGAAATTTCAGTATAATTTGGCAAGGGTGGAAACTGGACTTTTATTGTCTCCCTAGCCTTGGGTAGATGAAAGAAGTGTGACATGGACAAAAACCTATTTCATTCAATAAACAGTGCATATGAAAACTACATCATGTACATACTTGCAATCCTGTTGTGACTTGCAGTGATGCGGGTCAGGTGATTCAGGTGCACTGCAAGATAAAGGAACAATCAGAATATAAAAGGCAAAACTAACAACATGATCATGATGATACTGTGAATTACAATTGTCCATCAGGTACTGTTACACTTACTGCTCATCATGGTCATCATGGTCACTACTATCTATGAAATGCAGTTTGATCCAGGTTACTCAACATGTTCAATACCAGTAATCGAGGGAATACCCTATTACACTGTTATCTTCACTACCATGATACAAGTCATATTTCAGTTGATTAGTACTACTATTTTACAAATGAAATTAATTGGTCATCATGCCTTGTATTCTACACATATTCTAGCTTGTCAACAAACAGGATCAGGTAGATGTTTTCCGGGTACATGTTTAATGTAAATAGTTTTGCTCTTGTGCTCAGTGGATTTTAATCATGTTAATCTGGCATCGAACATGCACAAAATACCAGCAACATCACCCACCAATACGCCCATCAAGTACTATCTTATTTTATTATCAGTAATACTGTAATAATTGAGAGTGGTACAGTTTAATGGGTTAAATATTTTCACTATTCAAAAAAGCTATGTGCCCTAAAACAAAGACGTAAGATGGAAGATTGTTATTTTATCATTTAAATGGTGAAAACAGCACAAAAACCTTAAAAATGTTAAGTAAATATGTTCTATTCAAGCATGTGTCTAGCATGTCTAGTGTACACTTTTCGTAACAAAACAATTTGTATAACTATATAAGATAAGCATGGTAATGTCACAATTTATCTATTTTAGGTTACACAAATCTTTGACAACCATTTACCCTAGGTCTGTCATTTAAGGATTGAAGTTATATTTGTTGACGTTCATCAACTGATAAAGTCAGTGTAGAGTATATGCAGAATGAGTAAAGCGCAACTATTGGGATCGGGTGGTCAGGCTCCCTGACTTGGTTGATGCATGTCATGGTATATATACTCATCACATGCTCATGATATCAATCACCGGATTGTCTCGTTCAGACTCGGTTATTAACAGACCACCGTCACATTGCTGTAATATTGTTGAGCGCGGCGTTTAACAACAAACAAACAATATCAGTATCCGGTCAATTGCAATGTTTTTGCCAATGTAAAAGCACCAGCGTTTGTCTTCAGTTTACTGACAATATACCACAGATGTACCAGTTAGGCATTATGTCGAATTTCATGACTCAGTCACTCACTTAGTCCCGGAACGTCGGACCCCAGCTGAACGATTCCTCGATCAACCAGATCAATTTCAGGGTCCTTCTTATCCCGATTTTCCTCAATAACTTTCTTCAACTTATTAGCCATGTTGACCGGGTCCTTAAAATGCAGTTGTCGGAAAAAGCTCAAAGAATTCTACACATTTCCTTTAATGGCAATATCCTTCCGGAAGTCATATACCGGAAGTTGACATTTTCCCAAAGCTCCATCCAATTGCGTGCTACGGTTAACTGGTTTCCGCAGCAAGCTTAGGAAACGGGCTTCGTCGAAATCCTGTTCACTGGCGAGGGCAAACTTTTTGCATCGGGTGGGACCCTCCCCCTCTTTTCTATTTTGAAAACCAGATGTAGCATATGTTGTAGGCAGTAAAATTGACTGAGAGAGAACTTTGAGGTTTTGATTCATTTATGTAAATAAACATATTTATCCACCCCGATGCTTGTCATATGTTTGGATGACCCTCCCTAAAAAGACAAAATTCAAACGTACTTTATAATTTATCATACAATATCGACTTTTTCATGACGCTTCCAAAATATGTGTATTACTTTTTAAGACCCTCCCCTGATTGCCAAGGACCCACCCACCCGAATAATAATTTAAGTAACGGTCACCTAATAAAACATTATATTCATCATCCACAATATTATTTTTACAATTTAAATACACTATCTTTCTTTCATTGGTATGCTGTAATAATAAACCGATCTATTTTTTTAGATTGTGTGAACAAGATTGAAAATTGTATATTTGTATCACGTGTATCTTGTGTACCACCAGAGAACATAGATCTATTATTTTCCAGAAGGCCCGACATCATATAGGCAGGAGCCCAGTCAACCGTCAGGAGTTTTACAAGCTCCTTGCAGCGACATTCTATTTCTACTGAGCTCCCCGCAGCGATGTTCTACCGCAACGATATTGCAAATTAGTTATACGCGTTAAATTGGAGTGTGCGAAGCTTGCAACAGCATGCGAGAAGATCTCAGAAGCGATACCTAACGGTATTGTGGAGGAGCTTAAACATCTCTACCGACATCGTGGTAGCCTACCCTACATGTTGTTGGGTTTCACCTGTTGTCCGCGTTTTCATTACTGGTGAGGAACCCTATTAACAAAAGTGTCCGAACTATATCGGCAGTGTTTAGAGCGGAGATGTGAGTTTTGCACGTAACATCGGGAAGCTGTCAAAACTCAAAGACGCAATGGTTGATGGCAATATTCGATATACACCTGAGCAAGTACAATACATAAAAGATGACAAAGTGAACCCACTCAATAACCTGGTTGTCCCATGTGAATCTACAGGGAAGAATTGGTCCCCTGAATCCCATACATGTGGTAATTTAATTACCCACCCAAGTGTATTACGTGGTTGTGGGACCGGTGAAGACCCGGGTTAGAATTGGTCTTCAGCAACCCATGCTTGTCGTAAGAGCGACTAACATGTTTGATGCATGTCATAGTATCCCAATTGCGTAGGTCGATGCTCATGATGTCAATCACTGGATTGTCTGGTCCAGATTCGATTATTTACAGACTGACGTCATATAGCTGGAATATTGTTGAGTGAGGCATTATTATAAACAAACAAACAATGTGGTCCTTGTCAAAACTCGGACTCTGTGACTGTGCTTATTGGATGTCTTCATGCGAATGACATTGTTCATTGATCATCCACTTGTCTGTCTGATCCAGACTTGATTATTGTTGAGTGAGGCATTATTATAAACAAACAAACAATGTGGTCCTTGTCAAAACTCGGACTCTGTGACTGTGCTGATTGGATGTCTTCATGTGAATGACATTGTTCATTGATCATCCACTTGTCTGTCTGATCCAGACTTGATTAAGGGGCGGTGGGGTAGCCAAGTTGTTAAAGTGAATATCATCACACCTATGGCTGGGTTCAATTTCCCTACATAGGAACATGCATTACAAGCAGTCATTCACAGTACAGCAGATGTGTTAGTCATAGTAGTAATGTCCTAACTAGCACCTGTGTCTATAGAGACTCTTTGAAAGTGTTTCAGTGAGGAAGTAATACATACCAATGAATGGCATAGACACATACATCTATTATAAATATTTCTCCATTATTAATTAATACTTTAGGGTGAAGTACAAGACAGAGCTCCAGATAAGCTGCGTATCTGCGTAAAATACGCATCAGAAATGCAGAAATACGCGGTGAAATAAAATTCAAGTGTATCATATACGCAACGAACATTACAGATACGCTACAAAAATAAAACTAGTGCGTATCATCAAAATATTGTGAAGTAACCCTGCGTATTCGATTAGCAAATCAAACTTATTTTGAAATTATATACAGACATTCTTGCCGAACTCCACGATGACAGTTACATCATGATCATTTGCCGTCCTTTCTTGTGGAAGTATCGCGGTATTTTTGAGTCCTATAAAGCTCTCGAACCCACTCGACAACAGTTTGCAGGGACAAGACTAAGTGTTTTTAAATATTTAACTTAAATACCCACATGTGTAAAAACTAGTGGGTAACAGAAATTTGAATACCCAGATAGAATTACTGATACCCAATGATTTTAAAATGCATGGGTAAAATATCCATAAGACCGAAAGCTTATCTGGAGCTCTGCAAGATGTGAATGATTGTGCTAGATTTTTGTCTATTGAAATCTCTCCCTTTACAAGTGTTTCAGGGCAAAGTAGACGATATTAATGAATGTCCTAGTAGAGCTGTGTGCCCTGACCGGGCATGAAGAGAGAGTGTGGGGCGTGGCATGGAACCCCACAGGAACATTGCTAGCCTCATGCAGCGGGGACAAGAGTGTCCGCATCTGGGGGCAGGAGGGAGACAACTGGGTGTGCAAGACAGTCCTGACCGACGCCCACCAGCGGACAGTCCGGTCAGTGGCGTGGTCACCATGCGGCAACTACCTGGCCAGTGCCAGCTTCGATGCAACCACATGTGTCTGGAGTCGGAAGGAAGGGGAGTTTGAGTGCATTGCAACCCTTGAGGGCCACGAGAATGAGGTGAAGTGTGTGGTGTGGGCCCCCACCGGAAACCTGCTGGCAACATGCAGTCGTGACAAGAGTGTGTGGATTTGGGAAGGTTTGCAGCTAATTTCTGCTTTGGACTAAACATTTTGGACATTGTAGCAATAGAAACTAACTGTTTTAGTCCAGTAGACCTTCTAATGATATACCAAAACCTTTGAAAATGGCAAGTTTCTTCTAGTCCTTATGATAACTTAACTATTGGGCAGTTTGGCAAGGATTATTGGACTAGTGCCAATTTCTAACGCTGCATTTTTAGACATCTTCAGTATAAACAGACTTAAACCATAAGGAAAACTAACACAAGGATTGAAAATACTATTTTATGATGGATAGATTGCAAGTATTTCGACAATCTCATTAAAATCAGATCTTACTTCTCGCCACTAACGTTGTAGATTGGTGAGATTGGTCTATCCGTATTGATTTATTTGTCAATAAACCAAGGAAAAAAAGGCCATGACCACTAATGGACGGCTGTTTCCTCATTGGCTTGTAATAGAATAGGCGGGGCTCATGTTACATTATTGCACTGAACAATGTCACTGTTTCCGTATTGTGTCCAGTGTTAATGAATAAACAAGCTGTCTTAGAAGCTACACAGATGTACACAGTTTGCTCACCATTTTTTAATGTAGATACCTCCATAAACACAAAAAAGTATTTCATTCCATGTGCACATCTGCTCAGTGATTTTACTTGGCGTTCAATGTGTGAGTCTCAGTCATGCTTTTGGTCACCACTTTACCAACAAGAAGTAAAATATAGTGTGAAGCCTAATACTAAATTTAAATGGGATTTTCCTTGTTACTAAAAAATACAGTAAAATAAAGAAGCATGCTACCATGGCTACAACTGAGGGGGTTTTAAGGATCCAGTTGCCATGGTTGCTAATGGGACCAAATATTTTGCATGCAATAAAACCCTGCTCGTTGTGAGTCAGTTGGGATATTTTGGGGCAGGTCAGTTTGTGTCATTTGTTTTCATTAACACTGAACATTAGACATTCATATGATCCCAAAGTACTGAGCCTAATGAACTAGTCATTGAGTAATGCAATACACTCAGTCCATACACAGTGAATATTAGTAACAGTAGTTAAAGGAGAAACAAGAATGTTAACTCATGATAAGGATGCAGGGCTTCATTTCACTGTATGAAGGATAACTCTGTACATATGTTCTGTCTTGTGGTTTTTTTAAAATACATTTAGGAGGAATATAAAGAACAAACATTTGGCACTTGTATCAGTTTGAACAAGGTATTTGATTCACGCTGATATGGACATCATGGTCCATGTGTCAACTGTAGCGACAGAGTGGGGTTTCTTTGTAATCTGTCAGAGTGTTATAAAGAGGAGGTCAGTACTATAGTGATACCTGGTTCATGTTTTCTCCAGTGCCTGTCATTCATTTTTCTCAGGTCAAAGGTAAAGGTAACTGTAATTGCTTAATAATTTTAAGTCTCTTCAACAAAATAGATCAAGAAATAATCACAGAATGTTGGATTAGATGTTTTCCCAAGGCAAGGGAGTTAACTGACTGTATAAGTCCAGTTTCCATCCTTGTCGAACTAGGTTGGAATTTCTGGGCTTGATTGTAGCGCCACCTGTGGCTATTAAAAGTTATGTCCCTTCTATGTCTCTCCTATTGACCAATCAGATTCCACCTCTCATATCAGTTACATTTGCTTCAAACAAGATGGCAGCTCCCAGTCAAGACGATCAGATCGTTAATCAATATCTATATTGTAATAAAACAGGTCTTACTTCGTGAAGAGCATCAAATAACACGAGCACCTTGATTAAAAACATGAAAAGATTTTGAAAATCTGTCGACTCCCAATTGATGGAACACAAGCCGTGCAATTGACTGAAATCAGCAGGGCAGCAGCCGCCATGTTGCGCAAATATTAATTGGACTGTGCATAGACTCATTAGTCCAGCCAAAATATAACTCCATAATTCCAGTCTAGAATGGCAAGGGTGAAAACTGGACTTTTATAGTCAGTTAACCTCCTTGCCTGGGAAAGATGTCAATAATGTGAATTTCATAAGCTTACAAGACATTGTTTGTCCCATTCCCTAATGCTGAGAGGTGAACTACAGTACCTTGGTATTATTGCTTGTTGTTTCAGTGACAGATGACGAGGAGTACGAGTGTGCCAGCGTGCTGAGCATGCACACCCAGGACGTGAAGCACGTGGCCTGGCACCCCAACAAAGACATCCTCGTCTCCTGCAGCTACGACGACACCATCAAGTTTCTGAGAGAAGACAATGATGACTGGGCGTGTTGTGCCACCCTAGAGTCCCACGGCTCCACAGTGTGGGACATTGCCTTCAACAAGTCAGGGACACGCCTAGCGTCATGTAGTGATGACATGTCCGTGAAAGTCTGGCAGGAGTATCTCCCTGGGAACAAGGAGGGCGTCGCCACCACAGGGCGTGACCCCACGTGGAAGTGTGTCTGTACCCTGTCTGGCTACCATACGAGGTGTGTCTATTCCATAGACTGGAGTCACCTCACCGGGCATATCGCGACGGCAGCTGGTGACGATGCAGTCCGCGTGTTTGTGGAGGATGCAGGGTCGGATCAGAACCAACCAAATTTCAGTTTACTGACAACTGTTCAGGCGGCACATTCACAGGATGTCAACTGTGTGGCCTGGAACCCCAAAGTGGCAGGACTACTAGCATCATGCAGTGATGACGGTTTTGTCAAGCTCTGGCGACTGACTGAACAGTGATGATGGCTCTGTCAAGCTCTAGTCACTGAACTGATGGTCTGTCACCTGTGGAGGTGGGCCCTAACCCGTCACCTGTGGAGATGGCTCTAACCCATCACCTGTGGAGATGTCTCTAACCCGTCACCTGTGGAGATGGGCTCTAACCCGTCACCTGTGGAGATAGCTCTAACCCATCACCTGTGGAGATGTCTCTAACCCGTCACCTGTGGAGATGGGCTCTAACCCGTCACCTGTGGAGATGGCTCTAACCCGTCACCTGTGGAGATGGCTCTAACCCGTCACCTGTGGAGATGGGCTCTAACCCGTCACCTGTGGAGATGGGCTGTAACCCGTCACCTGTGGAAATGGCTCTACCCCGTCACCTGTGGAGATGGGCTGTAACCCGTCACCTGTGGAGATGTCCTCTAACCCGTCACCTGTGGAGATGGGCTCTAACCTGTGTAGATGAATGGTTCAGTTAACCAACACCATGTAGACTTCAGTTTATAACAGTCAGTAGGTTTCCTGATAAGGGTGAGTGAGTGAATATGGTTTTACACCGCTTTTAGCAATATACCAGCAATATCCCGGCAGGGGACACCAGAAATGGGCTTCACACATTGTAATGATTGTACCCATCTCAGGAATTGAACCCGGGTCTTCGGCATGACGAGCGAACGCTTTAACCACCAGGCTACCCGACTGCCACTCCTGATAAGGGTTCCCTTTGCATATGATAATGAAGGATAATCAAATGTGTTACTCACTGAAGTGGCAGCACATTCCAGCCATGGATATCATCACAATGTTTCTTGTATTATGCTCACTATTACACTCCAGGCTCCACGCTCCAGGCTCCAGGCTCCAGGCTCCAGGCTCCAGGCTCCAGGCTCCACTACTGTACATTAATAAGAAGTTAGAGATTATCGAGGTCTATCCTCAGAGATATTTTATATCCAAGCCATGTTATGTTTATTGTTGATATGAAAATATCACATATGTATGATTTTGTTTGTAATATGTGCATGGTTACAGTATTTGTGAACATATATTTCATAATGTTGTATAATATTGTTATTAAATTATAGAAGATGGTGATATGAAGTACATCACATTTATTTTAGTTCTGATCATATTCTGATGATGAAAGCAGGTATTTAGTTCTCACCACGTGCTTACTACCATGGTGTGAAGATATGCCTCCAGCAACCCATGCTTGCTGTTAAAGGTGACTATGCTTGTCGTAAGAGGCGACCTACAGGATCTGGTGTTCAGGCTGGCTGGCTTGGTTGATGCATGTCATCGATTCCAATTGCATGGATCATTGCTCATGATATCAAATACTGGATTGTGTGGTCCAGACTCGATTATTTACAGACCGCCGTCATATAGCTGGAATATTGCTGAGTGCTGCGTTAAACAACAAACAAACAAACAAACAAACCATGGTACTTAGAACACATTGTGGTTTACCCAAGGAACGTGTGTAATGAAGCACCCGTAAAATCGTGCTCAGCAACTTGTACGTGCGCCTTTCGTAGTTCAGTGACTGCTTTTACGTTTCAGCTTTCAATGTTTAAAATATCAAAATAATTATTATTATGCCCCGATGGCAATTTGATACGATATTAACCCTACTGTGCACGTTTGTTTCATTTAAAGGAACGTTACATAAAATAGTCATTACTTTATTCCAATACACCATGTACAACTATTTGAAATTTTACATATATACAGCTATACAACGCAGTCACGGCAAGTCCAGTAAGCTAAGATTGTCAATATTTCTGTTATTTATTAAGGTGTTCTGATTGGTTCACAAGCACAACACCATGTTTCTGTATGTAATCGGACCGCCTTCATGGCCTAGTGGTAGAGCGTCCGCCCGGAGAGCGGAAGGTCCGGGGTTGGATCCCCGGCTGCGTCATATCAAAAGACGTTAAAAGATGGTACTTGTTGTTTCCCCGTCTGGCGCTCGGCATTAAGGGGTGGTCGGCTCGGAGTCAGTATACTGTGTCTGAGTTGGGTATTCATGTTAAACTGCGGCATGGTATCTCTGGGCTGGCACTATAAAGTCAGTCCGGACTAGTACACGTGCATGCACGTCGCCATAAGAGTGCAATAATCTTGGACGCGACGTTAAACCCCATTTCACCTTACCTCACCTGTATGTAATGAGTTATCGGGGTAGAATATGTCTTCAGCAACAAACCGTGGTACTTAGAACACATTGTGGTTTACCCAAGGAACGTGGGTAATGAAGCACCCGTAAAATCGTGCTCAGCAACTTGTACGTGCGCCTTTCGTAGTTCAGTGATTGCTTTTACGTTTCAGCTTTCAATGTTTAAAATATCAAAATAATTATTATTATGCCCCGATGGCAATTTGTTACGATATTAACCCTACTGTGCACGTTTGTTTCATTTAAAGGAACGTTACATAAAATAGTCAATACTTTATTCCAATACACCATGTACAACTATTTGAAATTTTACATATATACAGCTATACAACGCAGTCACGGCAAGTCCAGTAAGCTAAGATTGTCAATATTTCTGTTATTTATTAAGGTGTTCTGATTGGTTCACAAGCACAACACCATGTTTCTGTATGTAATCGGACCGCCTCCGTGGTCTAGTGGTAGAGCGTCCGCCCGGAGAGCGGAAGGTCCGGGGTTGGATCCCCGGCTGCGTCATATCAAAAGACGTTAAAAGATGGTACTTGTTGTTACCCTGTCTGGCGCTCGGCATTAAGGGGTGGTCGGCTCGGAGTCAGTATACTGTGTCTGAGTTGGGTATTCATGTTAAACTGCGGCATGGTATCTCTGGGCTGGCACTATAAAGTCAGTCCGGACAAGTACACGTGCATGCACGTCGCCATATAAGTGCAATAATCTTGGACGCGACGTTAAACCCCATTTCACCTCACCTCACCTGTATGTAATGAATTATCGGGGTAGAATAGGTCTTCAGCAACCCATGCCGTAAAATGCGACTGCTTGTCGTAAGAGGCGACAAACGGGATCGGGTGGTGAGGACGTATTCAGCAATATTCCAGCCATATGACGGCGGTCTGTAAATAATCGAGTCTAGACCAGACAATCAAGTGATTGACAACATGAGTATCGATCCACGCAATTGGAATCGATGACATGCACCAACAAAGCATGACACACGTGTCAGTGCCTGTGGCTGACGGTGGGGTTGGGGGAAGGGGATATCAGTAGCCTTGAGGTCAAGGCCGCGGAATTTCGCTGTGTAGGGGTGTGTGCTAGACCCGTACACTACTCGCAGGTTCGTGCCCCAGACTTGAACTGATAGACACTGATCTGTCGGCACCACGCCCTCCTATTAGGTTCTACCAAAGTGGTAAACACGTCTGACCAGTGTCCCCTCTAGGAAAATGATGTGGTGTGGAACCGAGGCGGTGGCGTCAACTACGACTCGGGACACTTACATTGCTGATGCTGTTGATGTCTTATTTGCCGGGTTATGTTGCTGCACTCGTGGGCACGATGATTTGAATAGCTCCCCAGCACTCTTGTTTGTTGCCAGGGGCCACTCTCTACCCCCGTGGGGATTCCGGGTTAGACTTGACCTAATGGATCGGGAGGTCAGAGTCGGTAACTTGGTTGATGGCGTGTCGTCGTACCCTGACGGCGTGGGTTGTTGCTCACAATATCAGTCACTGGTGCAGGCCGTATTGCTGACGACGACAACGCACAATGCCCCCGCCAAGCGATGACGATACTGATTGAAGTGCACGTAATATATCTGTATCCAGTATACAACAATGACATGAACATGGGGCGTGATATGACTGAAATAACTACTTGTTTTTAATTAGCCCCAGTGGTCCTGATTGGTTGGTTTATGATAGTTCTTATCAGAAACCAAATTATCAGGTATAATGTACAAACTTATGTTGAAACTCCAAATTGCCCACTCCGAGTTCCCACTTGTAAATGAAATCCAGCGTATTTTACAAAGTACAGGTCTGAATCACTTTTGGCTGTCTCAGGAATTTCCCAGTGTACAATGGTTGGTTGGGGTTTTTTTTGTTTAACGCCGCACTCGGCAATATTCCAGTTATATGACGGCGGTCTGTAAATAATCGATTCTGGACCACACAACCCAGTGATTAATATGAGCATCGATCCACGCAGTTGGGATCGATGACATGCATCAACCAAGTCAGAGAGCCTGACCACCCGATCCCGTTAGTCGCCTCTTACGACAAGCATAGTCGCCTTTTACGACAAGCATAGTTATTTGTACAATGGACAAAGGCTAACGTCAAAACTGTCCTTATAGATCATTTTTTTTACAAAGTTGGAGAAGTAAAGTTAATTCCTCGAAAGGACACTATTACAATTTGTGTAAAGACATCCTTTCAATAGAAAACTATCTATTACCTCATTATTTATGCATTTGCCTTACTAAATTCAGAACCACCAACCACCGACTCCCAATTGAAACTGGTAGATGGTGTAACTTCAAGTGGGAAGGTAGGCTTTGCTCTGTGTAAAATTAAAATTGGTTTCATTTTATACTAGAATGCCATGAATGGGATCATTTAAGAAATAAATATCTCCCATTATATTATTGTAAATATCCAAATGCTGAAAATTTTGTTTCACTTATGAATTGTTCTCATAAACCTCTTCTCTTACGACTAGAACAGTATGTAAAATGTGGACTGTGTATGCTCCACTAACTATTGTCTCATTTCATTGTATATATGTCTCTCTTGTCAACTTCACTGTGTCACCTAGGTGATTCATGAGAAATAAACATCTTCTCCTACTTGAAAATGGGAGAGTACGAAATTCTGCTTATGTGCATGTGGTCAACGTTCATTGTCGGTAAGACCGCCTCCGTGGTCTAGTGGTAGAGCGTCCGCCCGGAGAGCGGAAGGTCCGGGGTTTGATCCCCGGCCGCGTCACACCAAAAGACGTTAAAAGATGGTACAAGCAGCCACACAAACACACGTGCATGCACGTCGCTATATAAGTGCAATAATCTTGGACGCGACGTTAAACCCAATTTCACCTCACCTCACCTCATTGCCGGCAATCACCGTGGTTCAAAGCGGCTTTAGTTAAGCCATATCGGCTTCACGCTACGCCATGCTACCCACGCACTCACTAACTTGCTCTAGTTTCTTAAGGATCCCCCAGCAGAAGACAAGCGGGACAGTGATTCAGTCTGCCGGCCTATGCCGCCACATTGAGACATGAGGTTGTAAAAATCACATTATGTTATTGTTTCCGAGATAAAATTTAAGAATTGGTCCTTTGGTTTATCCACCCATGATTTCACACCTCGCCTCACCTCGAAGTAGATCTTATCGGTCGTATTTGGATCAATTTATTACACACAACCCCGACTTAATATATGTATTGTATTTCTGTATTACTGTATTTACCAATTCCATTTTGACAAAAACCCGATATTGAAAAGGATACGGCTAGGTAACATGCGGCAGATGGGGGTCAACGTCAATAATATTGAACTGTTGTCGGCTTACTGTGAAAACGATAACTGTGGAAAATACTGATGTATTTGAATGTGTTCAACATATTTAACGTAGATCAAGACCCGGGTCAACTGTCCGTCCTTGTTCAAACCCTCTTTGTTTACTTCATTTGTTAATGTAAATCAGTCTAACAGTAAATGGTTTCAATGTCTGAGCATCACGTGTCAGTTTAGATTGTCTCACAGTGCCATGCTTGCCGTAAAAGGTGACTAACGGAAGCGGGTGGTCAGACTCGCAGACTTGGATGATGCATGTCCTCGATCCAATTGCGTGGATCGATGCTCATGATGTCAATCACTGGATTGTCTGGTCCAGATTCGATTATTTACAGACCGCCGTCATATAGCTGGAATATTGCTGAGTGCGGCGTTAAACAACAAACAAACAAAACACAGTTCCATGAACGTATTATTCTCATCCACCGCCACTCAGTCGGGCGGGGTATATAGGAACGTAAGTTTTGTCCGTCCGTCCACTTCTCAATGGTGACACATTTTCTCGAAAACTATTTAAGTTGGAGAAATGAAATTTTACACACTGATGTTACCAGTCACGATCTC